GCATTGGTAGGAGGGAAAACATTGGAATGGAGTTTGGAAAGATGGAAGGGAGAACCTCCCATTTCCCATCTTTCTCCTCAGCCAAGGCTCTGTTGGGGGTGTGCTGCCTTGTGGGGGTGGAGCCCATGGATTTGACATCGACCCCTTCCCCATTTTTTCCATGACCATCATTCAGCAGGCCGTGATGACTTTTCTTTTCTTGTTAAATAAAGTAAGAGGTACATCGAAACAGCTATCCATCAAATTAGTATGGCATACATATTGTACCTAAAAATACCTCCAATGTATTAGAATTGTGCTGTGTCAGCTATAGGGGTATTTAAAATAAGAAGATGAAAATTTAGGAGGGGATTTCTCCATCCTTCCTTTTAATGTTACAACTCACCTAATACATCATAGGGTTATCACCTCAGATAATGCCACCCACAGCTGTATTTGGGTGTGAAATAACCATCTGCACAGGCTACACAGTGGGATAATTAGAAGCATGTTGAATCGTGCAAAAAAAAATAATCAGAAGCCCATTCACTGTTCCAGAAAGGAGTGGGATGGCTCTAAAAATGGGAGGGATGGAGTGTGCCAAGTCAAAGCATGTGTAGACACTGCTATTTGGTTTGAACCAAACTGTACCAAAAGTGTTCCAAATAATAATGTACATACCCATCTGGTCAGGCCCATATTCTCAGAATGGCATTATGATGTTCTTAAAATAACTACGTTGGTTGAATCCAGAGTACTGGCCTGTAGCATTGTTGAACTGTTGATGTTCAACAGTTGTCTGAAGAAGGAATTGAATATGGGTTACTTGGAAGTGCTTTGCTTTCCAGCAAAAATGCCCTTTCCTATGTCAGGCTTCTTTTTATGTCTGCACTGGCAGGTTTCATCCTGAAAATTTTCTTGCTAATATTAATGGGAAGACTCCTGTTTGTAAGTTTAGCCTGTGTTGTCTTCCCACCTGTCATAGCTGAGAAATTAATTCTGAATTGCTTGCACTTGCCCATATTTAGGGTTCAGCTCTAACTATTTGAGGTGGCTGAGGTCCAACCGAGGGGGCAGGAGATCAGCTAAAGCTGTTATGAATCCAAGTTCCTCCCAGTTTAGGAATGTTGGGAATTGTATAGGATTACCATCTTAACTAGAGGTGGGCACGACTTAAGTCGTGCTGTGTCATATGAAGCTGTCAGCGCAGCGCCCCCACCCCGGGAGGTGGGAAGGGGATTCTGCCCACACAGCCCCTGAGTAGTCAGCTGCAGGGGGCAGGGAAGGCCAGCCCAAGCTCTTGCCCAGACTGGAGTACTGCCAGAGAAAGAGGATTCCTTCCAAGGTGTGCCATGGATGGTGAGTGCGCCAGGGGGTTGGGGGACAGTCCATGTGGCACCTGTGGTGCTGCGCTGACAGCTTCGTATGACACTGCACAACTTGTTCTATCCATGTGCTAGCCATGTTGCTTGTGGGCTTGGAATGTAAGAATTATGGATGTGGTGCAACATAGCTCCTCACTCATTCTGCCCCTTGTCCTCTCTTTTATTGCCTCTTCTGTGGACTGATTTTAGCTTGCAAAGCCGTTGTGCAGTCGCACTAACAGATCCAGTTGCACTAGCAAATCTCTTAAGTTCAGTCAGTACAAAGGGTTTCTGCTGGCACATGGGCATTGGGCTGGCACAAAAGGCTTTTACCTGTTCCAAACCCTATTACACTGAGTACAATACATCTATGAGTGGGGATTTTACTGGTCTCAGATTCTTTTGTCTGCATCTGTTCTAAATTTCTTTCCACCACTTCTTTTCTTTCTATTATGATGAAGCAGTGTTCTTTCTCAACAATACAGTAAATCATGGAGAGGAGGAATCGTGAAGAACAATAATATAACAACACAGTTGTGTGAAACAAAAGGTGTTTATGCAGTTTATCACTTATGTTCCAGCTGTGTTGAGCAGAAAAACAGTATAGTAGGTGGAATACACAAATAGGAGACTTCAAATTTATAAGAACAGTTGGTCTGACAAGCCTCAGTAGCAATTTTCCTGTCCACATTAGATAGGTCCATGTTGTATTTGAATTTGAATTAAAATTAAATGATACCTTATGGACATTTGGGCTCAAAACAATGGCAACATGATGGTAAGGGAGAAATCTCAATACCATGACTCTTGTGGTTTTAATGTATAGTAGATGAACAAATTATGGTAATTTCAGATCAAAAGCCTAGTGTAGAAACAACCTTGGATTAGTGCATTGGACCGTCTGTAGCCTGTATCATAAGTTTATAAACTTTTAAAAGTAAAAAATAGATTAAAGTGTAACTTTTAAAAAACAGATTCACCCCCAAAAATGACACTCCATTTTTCAGACAAATCATGAAGTCAGATCTCGATGCATGCTCTGGTTTGTCAGTAGGTTGAGTCCATCAGCAAGATTCAGGAAGATTTTCAGTGTACAAGGTGTGTGCTTTAAACTCCCTAACTGTTTGTTATGCTAACCCATTGACACATGGAAATTCTCACGGGGTTGGAATATATTCCACAAATCTCTCAATACAAGCTGTATAGCCTAGTGAACAGAGGATTAAATATGCAGGTTGCTCAAAACTATACATCAATTGAACACTGGAAGGAAGAGAGAGAATAACAACAAATATACATGAGTGGGAGTTTTGCTCAATAAGAAAAACCTGCAGATAAGGGTATGTAATTGCAAATTCACAGGCGGTTGTCATGTTTTTTTTTTTTTTTTTGGCTGCAGTGCAATCAACTGTGCAACTAACTTTGCAGCTTAAAGGCATACCAGGCCCATGACTGCCCGCCAGCAAAATACTGTTCGCAATCTGGATAATTGCCTTATATGATCGTGTAACACAAGAGCTGAAATCCTGCTATTTAGCGTAGTAAACTGCAACTAGAGTAAGCCCACTGAATCAATAGAACTTTTGGAAGGGTTGACTCACCAAATCTCCACTGATTCAATGTGTCTATTCTAGTTATGATTTACTATGTCAAACAAGAGAATTTCAGCCAACAGGATTCTAGCTTTTGTCTTTAAACACGCTGTTCAAAAGACAATTAGAGGGATCTGCAGAAATAAAAGTGATTTGTTTTACTCTTGCTTACTGCCACAGCTTGCATTACAATTCCATTTAGTGAAGACCAACTTGCAACATCTATATTATGGCCTAGTGGAGGCAGAGAGCAGCCCTTACACAGCAACCCTCCTGTACCTACCAGTTTATCAGCCAAGAAATCCTGCTGGGAATTTACACATTAATAGATGAGGATGTGGGAGACTGTTCCCTTCAGTAGCAACCATCATATGATTTATTTATTCTTCTTGGTGGGAGACTGTGGCTGCTGCCATTTTAACTACCCAAACTACAGAAAGAAATAAATTTCCACTTCTCACTAGCAGCAGACAAGAAGTTCTCAGGAGAGAGGATTAAAGAAGGATCTCTGTGATTTACACCTCACAGAAGATTGAATAGGAATGATTAATTTCCTAGCATGTGGCACTGCACGAGGAACAAGCAGAAGACCAAAGAGAGAGAGAGAGAGAGAGAGAGGAAGTTAAACCCTTCTAGAGGCTCAGCTAGTTGATTGTGATATTGAATTTCATGGGCAGCAGCCTATTTCACCAAATGCAAGAAATGTGTTAACAATGGTGGGAGTGGATAGGTGGGAAGGCTGAATGCCTACAGGCATTGTTTTATTTTCTTGGATTGTTTGCAAGTGATTTGTAACAATTTTAAATTAATCTATTGATTTCATCTCTTTTGAGATCACTAGACACACAAAGAAATATGAATACTTTAATCGATAGTCTAAATGACATCTCAACAGAGGTTTTAGCAGAGCCACATTCTTGTTGTTCATCATTCCCATATTACTGGGAGGTTCAACCACAATGCCATTCATATGTTATTTTTCTTAGAACATTCTACTTGAAGTGGGGACTCCCTGGTAGTTCTCTGGCTGAAGAAACCTTTTGGTTCCAGAGGAGTGTGTAAGTAAGAAGCTTGGAGGCAGCCATAACAGAATTCTTCTAAGAGTCAAATTTAGATAATCTTCTGGCATATATGCTTTGATTGTATTCCTGCATTGAGCAGGGGGTTGGACTTGATGGCTTTGTAGGTCCCTTCCAGCTTCACTTTTCTATGATTCTATGAATGTGCCGCAATAATTAAATTGCAAATGCATCCATAGACTTAAAAAGTCTGGGGGGGGGGGGGATCTGCAAGTCCAGTAGTATGGGTATTTCACTAACAATTTTTGGTTTTTGCAAAAATTGTGGTTAAGAAACAGTAATCTTAATGCTTTGTTATTGTTACAGTATTTGCATTTAAGACATGCATTTTTCAGCGAAATAATTTTGCTCAGAAATGCCTTGCATTTTGCAAGAAAAAAAAGAGAATGATTATTTTTAACACAGAATGCAAAATTTAGTAGTATGGGTATTTCACTAACAATTTTTGGTTTTTGCAAAAATTGTGGTTAAGAAACAGTAATCTTAATGCTTTGTTATTGTTACAGTATTTGCATTTAAGACATGCATTTTTCAGCGAAATAATTTTGCTCAGAAATGCCTTGCATTTTGCAAGAAAAAAAGAGAAATGATTATTTTTAACACAGAATGCAAAATTTTCATGAAAAACAAGCAAATACAGTTTCACTTTCTTGTAGGAACAGAAAATCTCACAAGAAGCTGCTATTCTGACAAGGTGCCATGGTATATTATGATACTTTTTGGGGAGTGGGAACAATTTTTTTAAAAAATATTCATTACATCCTTATTGCAGAATAATAGTAGTGAAAGTCTGTGCCAAAGTGACTGGATGGGCTTCTGGGCGGGCAGTTGCTTATCTATAGTACATGCTGATAATTGAAGTTCCCTGAACAAGTGAAAAGCATGGGTGAAATATATATAGACACTTGTGATCTCGCTATTATGAAAGCTTTCTTGCTGAGATCATTGCAGTGGATCGAGCAAAACTACTAAGAACTGGAGGGTCCACATTTGTATACAAAGCTCCAGTTTGTATTGAACATTACAGTGCATGTGATTTGATACAGAATGATAAAACATTAGCATTTTGCAACATACGGTAAGCATTTTGAATTTTCAAAGAGAAGGGGAATGTTTTGTATTAGTTTTCTGTTTTTATTGAATATTTCCTGCTGAAACAGAATTACCTGTGGCATTTTGGGAGCATGGGATGGAGCGGAGTTACAGTCCTATTCCTTACCTATAGCCGGCTGTTAGAAACAATGTAAACATATTCAATTCTGCTTCTGCTGTTTGTGTGATTAGGTCAGACATCTGTGGATATTGCCCCCCCAACACATATTATGGGCTTGGGTCGTAAAGTCCTGCTTCCCTGGAGATAGTGCACACCAGGTCTCCAGTACTGTAAAGAAGGCAAAAGGATTTGAATGATGTCTTGAGGCAGTTTTGTCCAGGGCTTGCACTGCTATTATGTCTTAGTAAATACTGTGTTCTTGAAAGTAGCTTCTGATTACAGATATTGTAAAACCTGTATATATTCTTTCTTCCCCGTTTTGGGAATCTGGGAGAAGTACAAGAGGTAGGCTCCATGGCTGCAGTCCCATTCGAAAGTGTAGGTAACAATATGAAAGGAGCATTGTGTATGGAAAAGGGGATTAGAAAATAATTAGTTGAAAAAGGTAAAATCAACTTGCATGGCTTTTCTCTTTCCCTATCATTTAATCCTTTATTCCTGAGAAAGTGAAAATAGATGCAGTTAAATATTCATAACAGCTCTACCTTAGATAGGTTTACTTAAAAATAAAATGTACATTGTTTAATAAGCTTTCCTTCCTAACATTCAGCAGGAGAGCCTTGCTTTTTTTAACTATTCTGTATATTTAGAGGTAAAATCTCAGAAGATATTGTCAAACAGTCTCAAGCTGCAGAACTGTTACCCATAGCCACTGTGATGTCCCTCTTTCACGTCACAACGGTCAGGACCACTGTTACCCATAGCCACTTTTACAAGTGCGCCTCTGGGAGCACACAAGACACCTAGATACCTGTCTCCTGATCCCTCTCCCCTGCATCTGGCATTTTGAAGTACTTTTCTTTTAAGCCTGGAGATTATACATCCCGATCATGGCTTGTAACCGGCGATGGACTTTTCCTCCAGGAATCTGTCCAGTCCCCTTTTAAAGGCATCTTGGCCAGATGCCATCACCACATCCTGTGGCAAGGAGTACCACAGACTTAACAACACGTTGGGTAACAAAATATTTTCTTTTGTCTGTTCTCACTCTCCCAACACTCCGTTGGGGTGGATGTCCCCTGGTTCTAGTATTGTGTGAGGGGGAAAAGAGCTTCCCTCTATCTATTTTATCCATCCCCTGAATAATTTTAGACCTCTCAATCATGTCCCCCCTCAGGCACCTTTTCTCTAGACTAAAGAGCTCCAAATGCTGTAGCCTTTCCTCATAAGGCAGGTGCCCCACCCCAGTCATTATTTTAGTCACTCTCTTCTGCACCTTTTCCAGTTTAACTATGTGTTTTTTGAGGAGCAGCTATCAGAACTGTATGCAGTACTCCAAATGCAGTCTTACCAGCATTTTATACAATGGCGTTACAATGTTGGCTGTTTTATTTTCAATCCCCTTTGTAATGATGCCTAGCATGGAATAGGGCTTCTTCCCTGCCGCCGCACACTGGGTTGACACTTTCATCGAGCTGTCCACCAGCACACCAGGATCTCCTTCTTGATCCATCACAGACAGATCAGAATCCATCAGCTGATAACACTTACCAGCATTTTATACAATGGCATTACAATGTTGGCTGTTTTATTTTCAATCCCCTTTGTAATGATGCCTAGCATGGAATAGGGCTTCTTCCCTGCCGCCGCACACTGGGTTGACACTTTCATCGAGCTGTCCACCAGCACACCAGGATCTCCTTCTTGATCCATCACAGACAGATCAGAATCCATCAGCTGATAACTAAAGTTTGGATTTTTTGCCCCAATGTGCATTACTTTACATTTTCTTATATTGAAACACATTTGCTATTTGGCCACCCATTCTCCCAGTTTGGAGAGATCCTTCTGGAGCTCTTCACAATCCCTTCTGGTCTTCAGCGCGTGGAAAAGTTTCATGCCATCTGCAAACTTGGCCACCTCACTGTTTATCCCTGTCTCCAGGTCATTTATGAACCTGACTAGTGGGATGCTGTAGAGGAGGCTTCAAGTTCTACTGGTTCAATGTGATAAACAGAAGTGACAAGTGACCTCTATGAAAAAAGGCAAACTTTTGAATACTTTAAGAATGTCTTCTATGCTGCAGTAATAGCACAGCAGCAAATAAAATAAGGTAAACAACACAGATGAAAAATGAAGTAAAACTTGAAATATATGCTATTTTTCTTTTCTTGTGTTACACTGTCTTCTGTTTGCACAATAAGACTTACTGGCTGAAATTTATGCTGTGCATGCTGGGTGGTGGATATATTTAATTAAAAAAAATTAAAAATGTCCTCACCCAACCACCCAAAGATTCCTTTTGCCCTTCTAAAGATTTATTGCTGCTGGAGGTCCTGCTACCAGATCAGGGCAGCCAGCAGCAATCCAGAGGTTATTTTCTGATAGTAAAGACTTCCTCTCCCTGTTCTGAGGCTCCCAAAGGTGAAAGGGATCCCTAGGGAGTCTTGGAACCTGGAAGGGGTGAGGGGAGCAATAGGAGGTGGTTAATTAAATTAAATTAAAGATATCCATCACTGGATGCTGACATCATCTGGTTGATGTGGCATAATTTTATGCCAGCAGTATTTGTGCGTGTGTAGTCAGCATGCACATAAGTAGCAGAAGGAAGGGGAAAAGAAAATATTTAACATGGTAAAAAAGCTACACAGAAAAGTAGTGTGTGAAAAGACAACCTGTTTTCAACTCAGATTGAAATACTGTACAAGCCAAACAATAAAACTGGGCTGGAGGAGGATAAGGGAGGTCCCACTATCTGGTAAAACTAAATTTCTGCACCTAAACAACAACATTAAGGGTTGAAACAGGCATTAGGAGTAGCCATGACAAAAGTTCTTAATTAATGAAAATATCTGAGTGCTACATTTTGAGCTTCTCTTACCTCCAGGATGTTGCAGATTAGCTTGCTTTGTTTGGCAATTGGTTTTCATGATTTAAACTGAGTCCACAAACAGGAAAAGATTGCCTCAGCCACCTTTCTGCAACATGGGTTTTGGCAATAATTATGGGTTATTTCTAACATTTGGTTCTGACCTGAAACACACACACAGAAAATGCATCCTACCTAGACAGGATGGCTGAGGGATTGCTGAACAGACATTATCCTGTGTAAGGTCGTGCTGAATCTGAACTCTTCCCAGCCTATGAATGCTGGAAATTATTTAGGACTGCCTTTACATGGGCTTATCTTTAGAACATTGTAATGGCTATCAGTCTTGGCTGAGTAGGGTGTGGGTCTGTCATAACTCATCTTCTTCCCCACTCCTCCTCTTCTCCACCTTCCCTCCTTTTTTTTCTTTCTTCCTTTACTTTTCTGCTGGCTGATTTTTGTGTTTATCTATGACTGTATCTTTGAGGTTGGATTCTCTTGCCTCTCATTCAAATAAGACTACACAACAAGACCAGATTGGGAAATCATTAGGAAAAGAGAACTGCAAATTTGGTGCTGGTAGGATGAGAGGAAAAGAAAGAGAAGGAAGCTCTTGTTTCCACAGTTCTTCAGATAAACTGATCAGCCACAACATTAAAGCCATGTGCCTAATATTGTGCAGGTCCCCCTCATGCTGCCAAAACAACTCTGATGGGTAGAGGCATGGACTCCACAAGACTTCTGAACACGTCCTGTGATATATGGCACCAAGACATTAGCAGTAGGTCCTTACAGTTCAGCAGGTTGCAAGGTGGGACCTCCATGGATCGGATTTGATGTTCCATCACATCCCATAGATGCTCCATTGGACTGAGATCTAAGGAAATTGGAGGCCAAGGCAACATCTTGAACTCTTTGTCATGTTCCTCAAGCCCTTCCTGAACAAGTGTTGCAGTGTGGCAGGGTGCATCATTCTGATGAAAGAGGCCACTGGCATGAGGGAACACCGTTGTAAGTGGTCTGCAACAATCTCTAGGCAGGTTGTATGTGTCAAAGTGACATCCACATTAATGCCAGGACTCAGGGTTTCCCAGCAGAACATTGCCAAGAGCATAACATTGCCTCCATCATCCTGTCTTCTTCCCATAGTGTCTCCTGCTGCCATTTCTTCTCCTGGTAAAACACACAGTCATCCACCTGATCTAAAAAAAGCATGTTTCATCAGACTAGGCAAGCTTCTTCCACTGCTCCATGGTCCAGTTCTGACACTCACATCCCAGTTGTAGGTGCTTTTGGTAGTGGACAGTAGTCATCATGGACACTCTGACTGGTCTGCAGCTATGGAACCCCATATGTAGCAAACTGTGATGCAATGTTTGTTCTGACACCTTTCTATCATAACTGGCATTATGCTTTTCAGCAATTTGAGCTACAGTAGCTCTTCTGTGTGATTGGAGGAGATGGGCTAGCCTTCACTTCCCACACGCATCAATAAGCCTTGGGCACCCACAGTCTTGATGCCAGTTCACCAGTTGCCCTTCCTTGCACCACTTTTGGTAGGTACTGACCGCTGCATACTGGAAACACCCCACAAGTCCTGCTGTTTTGGAGATGCTCTGAGCCAGTCATCTAGCCATCTCTATTTGGTCCTTGTTGAAATCACTCAGATCTTTTCATTTGCCCATATTTCCTGCTTCCAGCACATGAAATCTGAGAACTGACTGTTCACTTGCTGCCTAATATATCCCAGTCCTTGACAGGTTCCATTGTAATGATATAATCAATACTATTCACTTCTGTCTGTGGTTTTAATGTCGTGGCTGATCAGTGTGTGTTCTGCTGTTAGCAGGGTTGCACAGCAGGAGAGGAGGGATTGAATAAATACATTTTACCAGCCCTTCTCTAAAGGAGTATAACTGGTGATGGTGGTGAGATTCTTACTCCTGACTGAAAACTAAAACTGTCAGTGAGCAAAGCTTAGCTCTTGGCCTCCCAG